CTCCTACAGGTTTCTAATGTTTCGTCTTCACTTTCTGGCAAGTGAGACACTTTGCCACATAATTCGTGACATCTTTCTTCATTCCAGGCCACCAGAAGAGTTCTCTAACATCATGGTACATCTTGGTCATTCTTGGATAAAGAGTATATTGACATTTATGGGCCTCTACTAGTATCCTTTCCCTAAGATCGGCTACTTGAGGAACGTAAGTTCTCCTTCTAAACTTCAATAGTCTCTCCTTAGAAATTTCAAAGTTTCAGGTCTCACCCTTTAACAACTTCTGCTTGAAAATTTCTGCTAATCGATCCTTCAACTATGCTTCCCTGATCTAATCCTCAAGCAGAGCTATAAACTATGTTCTACCTCCTTTCTCTTCTACTGACTGCATCTGATATAGAGGACCCCAATCTCTGAAATCCTCTACTAGCTTTTTGCTCCTTGATCATTAGTGATACTACCAGCACTGCCTTCCTCCACAAGGCATCTGCAACCATATTCACTTTGCCCATGAAACATCCTTCCTTTAACCCCTTAGAGTATACATTCAAAAGCATTATGGTCAATTGATTTACAAAACAAGCCCGTAGATTGAAAATTTACAATTGGTTCCCGGGTTACTGCTCATTGGTTAAATTTTAGATTTTTGGTCTAACTTTGAAAAATCATAACTAATTGTAGAAAAATTGCACTGAGGTGGTTTAAAATTCTATTTAAAGATATTTCAATTCTCCACAAGGAACAAATATAAAACTATACTTAACCCTTGTCGATTTGTATAGTTTATTCATTGAAGCTTACTGTTTATTTGGTCAAAACTGTATGTTTTAATTTCTCTGTCCTAACTTCGATCAAGTATAACTCTTAGCACACACATCATGATAGGTGATCTACCACTGTTTTGAAGCTCATGATACATACTTTAACGATACCAAATTTCATGGGCAGCATCAATCATTTGCTTTACTTTCACTTTGTCTCAATTTTGTTGCTCAATTAGGGATAGTTATTTCTCTTAACTTGTATTAACAATTCATGATTAATTCTTTCCTTGCATAATACCATTCCATCAATCCATAAACTATTCCCATATTATAGTCAATTATCCATGCCATCATCATTATTTGTCATCACATAACATTAATGGCATGTTCATATCATACATTAACATATAAATTATACAATATAATCCAATAAATTTTCTCAATTCTTTTCCTCTTTCCTTGCTTCCACCTCACACATCCTTTGCTTGATCATTATCATCTATTATGGTCAGTTAAGGGAGAGTGAGATTTGGGAGAATCTTAGTAGCAAATATTACCATTTATGCATGCAAGATGGATGCAAGTGTTTGACATGCTTATTTATAACATTTTCTCATGCTCAATATTTCACATAAACATGCATGGCCATGGAAAAGATCAACGAAATAGAGCATCATAATTGCATTTACATCATATATCATCATCAAATCACATAATGCACATCAACAAACAAGCATACACATCAAGCACACAAGAAAGGTGAGTTCACTACCTTGTATCCTTAAGCTTTCTTCTTGCTCCCTTTTTCTTTTAACCATTAACGTTGCTTCCTCAACCTTTACCATTCCTTTTCCTTGATGTCTCATGGCCCTAAATACACCAACACATCAGTTTTATTCATTCATTGGAGCCATGGTAATCAACAACATCAACACTTTGTTTTCTTTAAGCTATATTAACTTCTAACTTTTGAGCTTGATTTTCAACTTTTCTAAAATTAATTTCACATGCTATTCTCACACAATTTTGCATTTAGAATCCATTTACAACATCAAAATAATCATAATCAAGGTCCTTCCCCATGAACTAGCCTTAGTCGAATAGTATGCACTTTAGGGTCTAAAAATTTCATTTTTAATTCCAATGATTCTAAACTTGTTTTCTCACCTTTTCCCCACATAATTTTTCATTTTAAACACATTGGAAGCATCAAAATCCAATCCTACCCTCAAGAACCAATTCTGGCTGAAATATTACTTAAATTACACAATCATGAAATTCAACCAATTTCAACATAAAATCACTTGATTCTTGTTCCTTTCAAGCCTTTAAACATTATTCTAACATCAATTTCATCTTCCCCTACACTTAACCATTTTGTGTAGCATGTCCTCTTAGGGTTTCAAGCTCCCAAAAACCATTAAAATCCATGACCAAGCTCAACAACGATAAGGGTAGCGAAAACTACATCAAAAACCATAAACATACATTGTTTTAGAATTTAATCTTGCATGGTATCATTTGGCCTTTCTCTCCCCTTCTTCTTTCTCTCTCTAGAATCCATTTTGCAAGAGTTTTCCTAAGGTTTCAAGAGCCTTGGACGAAATGAGGGAAGGGTTTAAGAACAAATCCTAGCAATTGATCTTGAAATTACAAGATTAAATCTTAGCCATTGATTTTTGCCTCTTTGTCTTGTGGTGACAAGTGTCCTTATGATATCATGCTCACCTCATCATGCTTACATCATCAAGCCACATGCCTTTAATCCAACCGTACATGTGTCTTGCATCCAACCGTACATTTGTCTTTTATCTAATTATACACTTGTCTCTTCTATGTCCCTTCATCATTTTGGCATTAAAATAGGAAGGACATTAATATAAAATTTGTTCAAAATACTGTACTTAGGCATTCTTCTACCTATTTTGCCATTCTGCACTGCTCCAAGTACTTTTTCAAGTCTTAACTTACCCGGGACCACTAGGACATGTTTTGGCACCATTTTCTCACCTCAAATAAATCCACATGGCACATTATATAATATGCCTAAAGAGAAAGTGATGCTCTTCCCTTGTTCTTCCATTAAAACAATTAACAATATTTTTTTCCTTTTCGGAGTGAACTTGACTGAATTCTTTCTATCAGTCTATGACTCCGAGAATATGTCTTTAGTTACCAATATTATTATTCATTACAGGGAATTTTTCTAATTTTTCTTAAGTCAAAAGTCAATCTCTAGATATTTAACTTTGACTTTTCCCAGATAGTATATAAATGAGCTTTAAATTTGTTAAAGCCAACCTCTTTGCTTTCTGGGGACAGAATTACTTTTAAAACCTGTGATAATTCCTCAAGTGTTTTTTCCCCATTTTTGTCTAATTTTCTGAGGCCTCCCTATACTTTAAATAATTCAATTTCTGCTAATATTCAAAATTAGCCGAAACCCTGAGAATTCCACAATTCCTTCTAGGGGCATTTTTGTCATTTTTACCCTCATACGAGCCTCTACGCCTCATCCCTATTTTTCTAAAATTTTTCTAGAGTATTCAGGCTAACTTTCCATCACTGCCCTTTTTCGGCTTGAAACTTTTCAAATTTGCGTTTTCAGTCCCTACTCGGGTTTAGCCTCAAGAATCCTCTTACTAAGGTTTCTAGCACAACCTTTAGCTCTCAATTATCTCAAATCCTTATGCGGGATCCCAGAACTTCCTAGACAGGCCTTAACATGCCATTTTCCTTTTTCTAGGATTTTTAGGCACGATTTTCATTTTTGCCTTTACTAGCCCGAAACTTTATAAAATTACAATTTTGCCCCTAGTTTGGCTTAACCAATAATTCACCTCCTTGAGGCCGCTAACATAACCTTTGGCCTACATTTACCTCTATTTCTCATTCTTAGGCCTCAAGACTTCACTAGAGTCTCTAACTTTCTCTTTTCTCAGTCCCAGCAAACTTTCCATTGACGATTTAGTCCTTAGGAATCCCTCTGTCCATTCAGGGAACCTCTGGGACCTCTTCTAAAAAGGGTCTAGTAGTCTACCCATTTTAGGCTAATTCTAGTACTTCCAAGCCTAAAATTCAGGTTGCGACAGCCCGGATGGTATTTAATCTGGAAATCATAATCCTGAAGCAAATCCATCTATCTACGTTGCCTCATGTTCAACTCTTTCTAATCTTAGAGGTATTTGAGGCTTTTGTGGTTGTAAAACCACTCTATCATTGCTCCGTACAGGTGATGTCTCTATATCTTTAATACATAAACTATTGTTGCCAATTCCAAGTCATGGATCGGATAATTCTCCTCATGAGATTTCAATTGGCGTGAGACATAGGCTACTACCCGCCTTTACTGCATAAGCACATATCCCAGTCAACATTTGAGCTTTCTCTTTAGCTCCTAAAAACTAGCCGCATTCTTCTCGTCCCGTAAGAACAGCTGGTTCTTCCTAATCAACTTAGTCAGTGGAAGAGCAATCCGAGAGAAGTCCTTAATGAATTTATGTAATACCTTGCTAGTCTGAGAAAACTTCTGATCTTGCTCACTATCTTGGGTCTCTCCGAGTTGAGTATTGCCTCAATCTTGCTGGGGTCAACAACCACTCACTCTCGAGAAATCACATGGCCGAGAAAATAGACTTCCTATAGTCAAAACTCACACTTACTAAGTTTGGCAACAAGCTGTATCTCTTTCAGGGTATTTAGAACAATTCTCAAGTGCATCTCATGCTCTTTAAGAGACTTGGAGTACACCAAGATATCATCAATGAACACTACCATGAACTGGTCTAAGTAAGGCTGAAAGATCTGGTTCATGTAATCCATGAATATCGTAGGCATATTCATCAATCCAAATGGCATCACTAAGAACTCATAGTGCCCATAACAAATTCTAAACATAGTCTTAGGGACATCATCAGGCTTAATCCTGTGTTAGTGGTAGCCAGATCTCAAATCAATCTTAGAAAATACATTGGCACCTGCTAACTGATCCAACAAATCATCTATCCTAGGGAGCGGATACTTGTTCTTAACTACGACCTTATTGAACTCCCTGTAGTCTATGCACAATCTTAGACTACCGTCCTTCTTCTTGACGAACAACACTAGAGCACCCCATGTCAAAATGCTCAGTCTAATGAAACCCTTCTCCATTAACTCCTCTATCTGCTTCTTTAATTTCACCATTTTATTAGGAGCCATTCTATAGGAGCTTTGGAAATCGGTCCTACTCCAGGTATAATGTCAATCGCGAATTCTATTTCTCTGTCTGGAGGTAGTCCTATGATCTCTGTCAGGAATACTTCCAAAAATTCATTAACAACTGGGATTTCTTCTATCCCTTCCTCAACTTCCACTTTCATCGAGATGAAAACAAGGAATCCTTGACAACCTTTTTGTGAGCATTTGCCCGCTTGGGCCTCTGTTACGAAGTTCAACCTAACTTTCAAGCTCAGCTTTACTTCTCGTGGGGGTAAGATTAAGGTTTTGTTCTTACAATCCAGTAGGATGTTATGGGACGACAACCAATTTAACCCAATTATCACATCAAGTTCATGAAAGGGCATACATATTAAATCTAAGGTAGTGCAACAATATTCATATCCAATTATGTAGTTTAAGCCTAGTCTGATATGAGTACCCTAGGGTGCGTTGGTGTGGCCACATGTATATCATAAGGTCGCATGCTGATTAACTAAGCTAAGTCTTTTAACACAAGCATATAAGATGAAAGAATGACTAGTACCCAAGTCAAACATGGCAATCATTAGGGAATTATTAATAATGATTATATCTTGGTTTTGGTGACTTCTGGGCTTCTTCCTCTATGAGAGCAAAGACTCACCCTTGCATTCGTGACCTTGACTTCTTCGCATTCTGCGAGCATTCTCTTGAAAAGTGTCTGGGTTTGCCACAAGTGTAGGAAACATTTTATCTAGTCATACACGGTCAGTCATCGTGATTCTTGCCACAGGTTGCATACTCTTTGCCCTTCTGAGGTTTGCCTCCTCTCTTGCTCTTTCAATTGTCCTATGGCCTTTTCCTCTTCTTATTGGCATTAGAAGAGGTGCCTCCTTAATCTCCTTTCTTTAGCTTGGGGGCAGGCTTGACATCAGATGATAGTTTAGGCTGTTCTCTGTGATTCGACAGGCTTCAACTGCCCTGTTAAAGTTCTCAAACTGCCTAGGGCCAATCATCTCCCTCGAGGACTGCTTCAGTCCTCCAACCATCTTCTCCATCGTCCACCTTTCATCTTCTCAGTAACAGAGGTAACTGGAGTAGTGAGAGAGGCGAATGAATTTGGATAAGTATTCATCAAAAGGTACATTATCTTTCTGCCTCAAGGTTAGGAATTCTGCTTCTCGTTCATCTCTAACTAACCTTGGGAAGTACTTCTCATAAAATTACTCTAGGAATACTTCCCAAGGCACCCTCATGTTACAAGCATCAAGAATTAGCTCGGTGTTCTTCTACCAGCGGTCAGCGTCTTTCTCGAGCTTATGGATTGCCATCTAGGCTTTTCACTTGTCAAACAGTCCAATACTTTAAAAATCTTTTCTAGGCAGTTGATCCAATCTTCTGCCCCTTGAACATTAAACACCGGGTTAAAGGATGTCAGGTTGTGCTTACAGAATCGGGTCATTCATTGTTGGATGCTATCCTGGTTGACGGCTGGTACTGCCAGTCTAGGCAGTTGTTCTGATTCTCAAATTGCAGCTACTTCTTCTTCTCGCTGCCTCTAGTTAAAGTTCACCATTGTCACTACTACCGTTGCAGCAATTACGACATTCCTTTTTTGCTCTTGACGAGCTTGTGCCGCCCTCATATCCTCAATAGTTTTTTGTTGCTGCTCTAAATGATCTAGAATCAATTGTAACGAATCTAGAGGGTCCCTTGCGTCATGTCCTGAGGGTCTCTCTGGAGAAGAATTTCTTTTAGTTCTAACGATCATGATATCTAATCTGAATACGTAATAACAGAACAAGAAGTACATAACATGCTTGAATTCCATTCAACAAAAGGGCATACAACAGTTATTGTTCATCACCCCAAAACAACAAAGTTCAAGGCATACATACTAGCCAAAACAAACATAGCATCCAAGTGCATTAGTCTAACCTACTACGGTTAGCTATGCCAAAATAAATCCTACGTTAGTGCTGTGAGGATCCTAGCTATCTAAAGAAAGTGAATGATAACGAAGTCCTCGAGGCTTCAAATCCAATCCTCCACATCATCTCTGAGTATCTAATCCAATCAGCATATCTCATTCACCCAGAGGGGGGTGATAGGTAATACATGTACCACCTGCTATAGCCGTTAAAAGGCTCCAGATAAGGGTTGCTTGGTCCATAGTCCTGATACAGTGCCCTCACAGTCTGGAAGTAATCTAAGTGCACTGTCAGGTCTATGTCCACATTCCTGATTTGATGCCCTAGAAACCTCAGTCTCTCTCTGCTAATCCACACTACGGATCTCTGGCTCAGGTGGAACTGGGACAGGTGCTACAGGCATTGCAGGTACTAGGGTTACTACCAGTCTGGTATTAGGTCTGGTAATGTCCATCGGTGTATGCCTATATATGAGGGGGTAGACTTCTTATGCTCAGGGAACCTGATAGAGGAGCATGGCATGATCAAGCATCAAAGGAAGACCAAAACACGGAGCGTGGAGCCCAAGCTAAAAGATGGAAGTCCAATATTCTAAAAGACCCATTACAAGGCATTGTAGGCCCAATGATAAGAGCAAGGACCAAATCTATGAAAGAGGCGCTGAATTGTTTGATAAAAGATCTTAGAGAGTTAGAGCCCATTTATTTGGAAGAAGCATCCCTCAATCAGCCCATCAAGGGTCCAAACATGGTGATTACATTGCTAAAAGCCAAACAAGATGATGTACAAGGCCCATGTGTAGTCCAGATTGAAGAATTCACTCAAAATACCATGTGACAAGCATGTGCCTTGGAGAAGGAGCATAAGTGACGTCCAAGAATATTCAAGAAGCATCAAGAAGGCGTCTTTATGTATTAGTTATGGTTTAATTTCGTTTTTTTAAGTTTCCATTTTTATTTGCATTAAATAAGGCCTTTTGGTCAAAGATTGCATAAGAATATTTTAGGTTAGTTTCCTATTTTTAGGTAGCAGCCTTTTTCTTCAAGAAAAGGTAATTTCCTATTTCCTTTAGCCTTAATTGGTGCCAACCAAGATAGTCAATCATCATTAAGGCACATTTATGGCATTTATGACCTAGGGTTTTTTGATTCTAGATTGTTCTTTTACTGCCTATATAAGGCTACGTTTTTTGTAATTGGGGATCAGATTTGAATGAATGAATTTTAGAGAATTTTATTTCTCTTGAGTGAGCTTTGCTTGCCGCCTCGTATTCTCGTGGGAATACTCGACTGTATCAAGGACTGATCATCCTTGTGGTGTCTCCATGGCTAGGGTTGTAAGAGACAGGTTCTCTTAAGGTCCTACCTTCGATCGTTCGTCTAGTTTCCTAACTTGTTTCTAGCCGATCCGTATCCGTACATTATATCATTTGGTATCAGAGCTAAGGTTTGCTAGAATTTAAGTTCTATCCTTTTATCTATTATTTCTGTTTTCTTGTTTCATCTTCTTAATTCTATCATTCGTTCTTCGTCCCTTGCTTTCATCAATTTGTTTCTTCACTTTTCCACCTCCTATTTGTGTTTTTTTTTGTGACTTTCTGTGTTCCTTTGAGCAGCAAAAAAAAAAAAAAAAAGAGAAAAATTCGTGCACCAAAAAAAAGCAAAAAAAAAAGTGTTGTGTTGTGAAAAAAAAAAGGAGTGCTAGAAAAAAAAAGGAAAAAAAATCCGAAAATTCAAAAAAAAAAAAAAAAAAGAGGAGAAGCTGCAGATTTGAGAATTGCAATGTTAAAGATGAGTTTCCTAAAATTGAGAAGAGCTTCCATTACAAGTCACAACTAGTTTCCTAAATCGTTAAACTTGGGTGGTAAGAGTTCTTATTTCCTCTCTTTGCATGTTTCCTAATTTCTTCTTGTTTCCTATTTTTTTTGTTTTCCTTTCCTTTTTTTTTTCCGTATTGCTTAATTTGAGTTTCTTTCCTTTTCCTTCAAGTTTCTATTTGCTTCCTTCCTTCCATATCTCACCTTCCTAACTTGATTTGCTTTTCTTGCAAGGTGCCCAATTTCCTAAATTATTTTCAAGGTAGCACCTTTCCTAAATATTTTTTCCTTTTTTTTCCTTTCTTTTCTAATTCATAGCTTTCCATATTCTCCTTTCTTTTTTTTTTCCTTTTTATGTTTTTTCCCCCTCCTCTTTTCCTTCCTTTTACGTTTTTGGTACCTATCCTTTTCTTTTATCACATATTCCTTTCTTATCTCTTATATTTTCTGGTTCTTGCAATTCTGGTTGTGGAGATTACCATTTACTAACATTGTCTCTTGATTTTGTTGAGTTTCAATCAAGAATACTATAGGAGGCAAGTTTGAGTGGTAAAAGGCGAGAGCGTTATTACATCAATTTAAAAGCCAGATTTGAGTTAAGCACGAGTGACACTACAATTTCTTGAGTGAAACACGCGAGTAGAGTGGTAAGGTCCCTTTTTACTATTTCATTTCTCTTTGATCGCACTAACGTTTCAATTTCAAGATGAGTGACAAAGAAGCCAATATGGAAGAATTCAACACAGATCCTAAGCTATTTATGAGAGCCATGAGAGATGAATTTCTCAAACTCAAGTTGGAGCTAGCAGAGCTAAAAGCATCCAAAGCAAGTAGTGGTGACGAGGAGGTGATTAGATCTGGTTCTTCATCCTCAAAGAATAGGAGCGGACCTGAAAAACGTGATTTGGACACCTATGACCCAAAGATCAAGTACCCTGCCTTCAAGGGTAATATAAATCCAGATGCATACCTTGATTGGGAGATGAAGTTTGAGCAAATCTTCAGAATGAATGACTGGCCAGAAGAAAAGAAGGTAAAAATTGCTTCATATCAATTTTCTGACTATGCTATTGTTTGGTGGGAAGATTTACAGCTTAAAAGGCGCCTTAAGGGCAAAGGACCACCTCATACATGGTCAAAGCTAAAGAAACTCATGCGCAACAAGTATGTCCCTAGTTACTACTACCGAGAGCTAAATAGAAAGTTACGACTGTTTGGCCAAGGCTCTATGACTGTAGATGAATATGTGCATGAACTTGACCTTCTTAAAATGCGAGCTGGAGTACAAGAAGGAGAAGAAGCAAGCATGACCAGAATCATTGATGGGTTAAGGCCTGAAATTAGAGACAAAGTTGAGATGTACACTTTTGTTGATAAAGAAGAGCTAGTGCATAAAGCCATCAAAGTTGAGAAGCGGTATAAAGAAAAACACTCCAAATCCTCATCTCATGGTTGGAGGGACTCTAGATCAGCATCCAAGTGGAAGGATTCTAAGGCTAAAGATGTTGCAAAATTCACACCAAAAGCCAAGGAGGAATCCAAGCCCAAGATTGATGGCGGTAAGAAACTTGACTCTAAAACTTCTTCTACTGATAGAACCTCTTCTCTTCAATGTTTTAGATGTCATGGAAAAGGGCATATTGCTTCCCAATGTCCCAATAAGAGGGCCATGATTCTCAAAGATAATGGCGAGTATGACAGTGTGCATTCTAGCGATGAAAGTGATGATGACATGCCTTCTTTGGTGACTGATTCTGAATTGGAGATTGATGAAGCTGAACCTGTTAAGGGAGAAGCATTAGTGGCTAGAAGAGCCCTAAACATGCAACCAAAGGAAGATAAAGAGCAAGAGCAGCGAGAGCTCATCTTCCACACTAGGTGCTTCATAAAGAATAAGGTATGTAGCATGGTTATTGATAGTGGTAGTGTTACCAATGTTGCTAGTACCTTACTTGTTGAAAAGTTGGATTTACCTACTATGAAGCATCCTAAGCCTTATAAATTGCAATGGTTGAATGATAGTGCTGAAGCTAAGGTCACTAAGCAAGTTTTGGTTTCTTTTTCTGTTGGCAACTACCATGCTGAAGTTTTATGTGATGTAGTCCCAATGCTTGCTGGACATCTTTTGCTTGGAAGACCATGGCAGTTTGATAGTAGAGCTCACCATGATGGTTACAAAAATTGTTATTCTGTACCTTTCAATGGGAAAATCATTGTATTGAAGCCTCTTAGGCCTAAAGAAGCTTATGATGACCAAGTGAGGATTGAGAAAGAATGCAAAAAAAAAAGTGAGTGGAGTGAAAAAGAGAGAGTACAGAAAAAAGAAAAGAAAAGGAATGAATATGAGAAAAATGAACAAAAGAAAGAGAATCTATTTGCTGGAAAAAGGAGGTTAAGAGAGCGAGTGAGCGAGTCTTAGTGCTTGTGTGCAAGGATGCTTATTTTTCTACTAACCAACTTAACCCCTCTTTGCCTTCTAGTGTTGTGGCTTTGTTGCAGGAATTTGGTGACCTATTCCTTGATGAAGTTCCCGATGGGCTTCCTCCCTTAAGAGGAATTGAGCATAGGATTGATTTCATCCCTAGAGCTTCTATACCTAATAGACCAGCTTATAGAGCCAATCCCGAAGAAACTAAAGAGATTCAACGCCAAGTTGATGAACTCATGAGGAAAGGCTTTGTAAGGGAAAGTTTGAGCCCATGTGCTGTTCCAGTACTTCTAGTGCCCAAGAAAGATGGTTCATGGCAAATGTGCATTGATTGTAGAGCCATCAACAAAATAACAATTAAGTATCGCTACCCCATTCCTAGATTAGATGACATGTTGGATGAGTTGCATGGTGCTACTTTATTCTCTAAAATTGACCTAAGGAGTGGTTATCATCAAATTCGCATGAAAGAGGGAGATGAATGGAAAACAGCATTTAAAACTAAATTTGGATTTATGAGTGGTTAGTTATGCCTTTTGGGTTAACTAATGCACCTAGCACTTTCATGAGCTTGATGAATCATGTTTTTCGTTCATTTATTGGGAAGTTTGTGGTTGTCTACTTTGATGATATTCTTGTCTATAGTAGAACAATAGATGACCATGTTATTCACTTGCATGAGGTGTTTCGAACTCTTAGGGAGAATAACTTATATGCTAATTTTCAGAAATGCTCCTTTTGCATGGATTCTGTTGTGTTTCTTGGTTTTGTTGCAGGTGCTCAAGGGATCCATGTGGATGAGGAAAAGGTGAAAGCTATAAGAGATTGGCCAACCCCAAAGAATGCCAATGAAGTCAGGAGTTTTCATGGACTAGCAAGTTTCTATAGGAGGTTTGTCAAAGATTTTTCAACTATTGCTGCACCTCTAAATGAGCTTGTTAAGAAGCATGTGACATTTAAATGGGGTGAAACACAAGAAACAGCTTTTAATACCTTGAAAGAGAAATTAACCAATGCACCACTTTTGTGTTTACCTGATTTTAATAAAGTTTTTGAAGTTGAATGTGATGCTTCTAGGATTGGTATTGGTGCTGTTCTAATGCAAGAGTCTGGGCCTATTGCCTACTTCAGTAAGAAATTAAGTGGAGCTTCTTTGAATTACTCTACTTATGACAAGGAACTCTATGCTTTAAAACGAACTTTAGAAACATGGCAGCATTATTTATGGCCCAAGGAGTTCATTATTCACTTTGATCATGAAAGTTTGAAGTTTCTAAAGTCTCAAGGTAAGCTTAACAAGAGGCATGCTCGCTGGTTGGAATTCATAGAGACGTTTCCTTATGTGATCAAGCATAAGCAAGGTAAAGAGAATGTTGTTGCTGATGCTCTTTCTAGGAGGTATTCTCTTATCACTTCTCTTCATGCTAGATTACTTGGATTTGAATTATTGAAAGGGTTGTATGACTCTGATTGTGATTTTTCCAAAATTTGGCTTTCTTGTGAAAAGCATGGGGTGAATGACTTTTATAGATCTGATGGGTTTCTTTTTAAGAAAGATAAATTGTGCATTCCCAATTGCTCTATGCGTGAGCTGCTTTAAAAGAAACTCATGGTGGTGGTTTGATGGGTCACTTTGGTGTTGACAAAACATTAGCTCTTTTGCATGAACACTTTTATTGGCCTGGTATGCGCAAAGATGTTGTGTCTGTTTGTGCTAAATGTGTGACATGTAGGCATGCAAAGTCTAAGGTTCAACCTCATGGTTTATATTCCCCTCTACCTGTGCCTTCCTAACCTTGGGTAGATATTTCTATAGATTTTGTGTTGGCTTGCCTAGGTCTCAATCTGGGAAAGATAGTATCTTTGTTGTAGTGGATAGATTTAGTAAAATGGCTCATTTTATTGCTTGTTCTAAAACAAATGATGCTGTGCATATTGCTGACTTGTTCTTCAAAGAAATTGTTAGATTGCATGGATTGCCTAAAACCATTGTGAGTGATAGGGATGTAAAGTTTCTTAGCCATTTTTGGAGGACCTTGTGGAGTAAGCTTGGAACTAAGTTGCTGTTTTCTACTGTGGCACATTCCCAAACGGATGGGCAAACTGAGGTCGTCAATAGAACACTCACTACCTTGTTACGTGCAATAATTGAAAAGAACTTGAAGAATTGGGTCAACTGCTTGCCTCATATTGAATTTGCATATAACAGGGCTATTCACTCTTCCACTTCTTTCTCTCCATTGGAGATTGTTTATGGCTTTAATCCTCTATCTCCTTTGGATATTCTGCCTTTGCCTTCTAGTGAACGAGCTAACCTTGATGGCAAGAAAAAGGCTGAGTTTGTGCAGGAATTACATGCTAAGGTGAGGGCCAACATCGAGAGAAAGAATGAGCAATATACAAAGCAAGGGATTGATCAACCTTGTGGTATATTCCATTGCTAGAATCAAGTAATGGACGGACGGTTGATCTAGGTAGGACCTTAAGAGAACCTGTCTCCCATGAAGACACCACAAGGTTGATCAATCCCTTGATACTGTCGAGTATTCTCACGAGAATACAAGGATGCAAGCAAAGCTCACATTGAGAGAGATAAACTCAATTCTCATTCATCTAAATCTGAATTCAATTACAAAAAACGTAGCCTATATATAGGCAACAATAGAACACTCTAGAATCAGCATCCTAAGATATAAATGCTAAGGGTGATGCCTCATTAATGATTATTTGACTATAGGAGGCACCATTTATTACATAGAAATAAAAGGAAATAGCTTAAACTTCAAGAACAAGTCTGCTATTTGAAAATAGAAAACTGTAAAATAGGAAACTAATTAAAGCAAACAAAATCCTAATTGATGTCAATAATATCACACTTGATGCTTCTTGAATCTTCTTGGACCTTCCAAATGGATCTTCATAATTACTATTCACGTCCATAAGCATGCATGGGCCTTTTAGGCATTCATTTGGGCTTGAATATAGTTGAATCACGTTCTGAAACTCCCATGGTCCATAACACAATGCATTTGGGCCCCAATTTAAAACATTATAGCTCTAATGGATTCCTCCAGGCACATATAATGGTGTTGGGCCTTTAATAACACAAGAATTGGCTTCAAATGCTCCTTTTGGGCTCTTAGAACATGCTCTTATCTTTCTCAAAGTCCAAATATTCATACTCTGATGACTTATCTACCATGGTGGTTTTTGGGGCGGCCTTCCATATGTCATGTTAAGCTCCATATGTATCCATGTCATCATCCAAGGAATGATCCATGTTCTCCTCCACGTAAGTATTCTTGAGCTATAAATCCCTTGAACACTCTGGAGGGCTTGTTGGGCTTCTAACTGAAGGAGTGCTATTTGGGCTTCATGACCTCCATATTCAATGCCTCCTGGTATGCTATCAAACTTACTGATGAATGGCCTAGGCTAGCATCTCCTATGATCTATTCCACTAGATCCTCCTCCTCAATCACTTCAATCAAGTCAACATCCCCTTGGTTGACTGACCTCTCTAACGTAGCATCCCAATTCATGGTATTTTCGATTTTGAATCCTACAAAAACCCTATTGATATGTCAACTCCTCCTTAATTGACACATCTTCTAATAGGTTGATCTAGTAGAATGTTCTATCTTATGCCAAAACATCTGCTCTGATACCAAAAATATTATACCTTATGTTTAGGATACCTTAAGGTCCAATTAGAATTATCTTTTGTTACACCTTACTTCTAGTATAGTTTAGAATTTATTTTGAGGTATTTTAGACCACATTGGATGGTCTTGGGCTCAAAAATATCTAAACATGCTGATTTTAGATTTTTTACGGCTCATGTGGTAAAAATC